GGCAATATGTTGTATTTAATTATTGATGTGTATATTTGTTAACCTTTTGCTATTATAGGCTGTGTGTTTTCCATAAGCTTCTTGCTTTCCCTGTCACAGGTGGTGGCAGCAATATGGGTGTGATTGAGGTTAAGTTGGCACCACACACACAGGAGAGCACAGTGGTGTTAGCTGGGCAGAGAGTGGCATCTCTGGCTACCAGGCTGGGGACGACCAATGCCATAGGACGAAGTAACCTTGCTTGCGACTGCAAGGTGTACTGTACGTACGCAGGTGCTGGTTGATGTCCACTTTCTGCTTTTTCTTTCTTTTCTTTTTCATTGTTTGTCATTTTTTTTTTTCTTGCTTGTATTTACTTTCAATATCTAATACTCCAGTTAAGTGGAAGTTTATAACTAACTTGTTAGCATTTTCCTAGTTCTAAATTACATTTATATCAAACTTTCACTGTAATACTATAATCTTTGTGAAAGCATCATGTGGTAGTCACATTTTCATAAATATATACTGTGACTAGTAAGGCTTTATCTTTATATATAAAAATGTTTGTTAAATAAAGTAAGGTTTTAGTCTGTATTGTCGTTGTCTTGTTTGCCAAAAGTGATTTCTTTTGGCTGTCAATTCTCTCTTTTCTTGCAGTATCTGTTTGTCTTCCTGGCCTCACGTTGGTGATGGAAGCCTTTTGTATACAAGTGAACTTATTCTCTCAAAGGGAGTACAACTGGAGTAACCATATAATAACTTTCATACTATGTTCGTACATATAGCTTTATTATTGTAAACAATGAAAAGAGGGGTTGTAATGAGAACCCATCTGTTCCATATGATAGCCATAAAGCAAAATAAATTCAGTATTTATATCTTATATTGTGCATTTAATAGAACTTGCTTTTAGCAGTAACCTGTTAACTTGAGCTGATTTTTTAGTTCTTGCATGCTTACCTTTTTTAAGTTATACCATTAATCTATTTGGTATGACACTGAGCAGTTACAGTAATTTTTGGTTAATTAGTACTCTGCATATTAATTAGCGTTAGCTTCATAGATCTGTCTTCTAGTGTGCTTCCAATTTCATGTCTAACAGCTGTATTTTTATTTTCAGGTATTTCTGTGGGATATGGATAAATACAATATGATCCGTAAGCTAGAAGGGCACTACAATGATGTGGTAGCATGTGAGTTCTCTCCTGATGGAGCTTTGTTGGCTACTGCATCCTATGATACCAGGGTGTATGTTTGGGATCCCCATATTGGGTCTATCCTTTTTGAACTTGGGTAAGTAGATTTTTATTTTTTCACCCTCAAATTAATCCAAACAGTTGCTATAAAAAAAAGTGTGATGCAGAGATATGGGCAGCTCTAGTACCTAGAGCGAGGACAGCTGGTTGCTGTATGAGGTGATTTAATGCAGTTTGAAGTACAGCCATCCCCCCCCCATCTCTCCTAACTGAAACTCCATATCTCTGTACAAGCTCTGCCTGGGAGAGAATGTGCAGAAGCCTGAGCTTAGCAGCTGTGATCGAGTGATCATGATTGCAATGCTTTCCAGACTTGAATGCAAATATTAAAGAAATGCATATTTTTTTTAATATATATTATGCATTTCTTTAATTTTTGCAAAAGGTGAACTTATCCTTTTAAGATTTAAAATAAACTGTGACTTTAGAACTTTCCACTTTTTTCTCTAGAACTTTTTTTTTTTTTTGGTACACAGAAATGCACTGAATAGAATATGGCTCAATATCCAGCTTTTATAGCTTTTGAAAGACTATTTATTGCAGACATGGAGTGGAAGTGTCTACATGGCTTTTAACTGATTAACCTGAAATACCTACAGACTGAGACTGAACAGATAGTGTTACCATGTTAATGATTATCTTCTAGACATGTTAATGTGCTTATTTTTATATACTTTCATGATACCTAGTGCATTATTGAGCAATTGATCTTGTGGGGTGTGTATGTGTGTGTATACATAGATATAGATGGCTAGCTAGCAGCTTTCTTAAAACCCTTAGGCTTAATGTACATATATATTTCTAAAATGGGGTGTCTGGCACACCGCCGAGATATGGCAGCTCCGCCGGGTACTCAGTGTGTAATAACAGTCCAGCGTCCCCTGGTTACTAGATTACACACTGAGAACCCGGCGGAGCCGCCTTGATATCGCAGCGGCTCCGCCGGGTTCTAAGTGTAATGACAGATCAGCGTCCCTGGTAACCAGGGGACGCTGATCTGTCTCTGCATGCAAGTGGCCAGAGCCAGCTGTGAGATGAAGACTGGCTCCGCCAAGCTGTCAGTAGCAGGTTGTCGGCCGGCCGTTCCAGCTTTGGCTTTCACCTCGGCTCAGTCGAGCTGAAGCATATGAGAAAAAAAACAAAACACACCCCATCCCTTCCCCCACATAACATACACATATTGTGGTGCACACCATGCATATGCGCTGCAGTGCGTTGTTAGAACGCATCGCAGTGCGTGATTTAAAAAAAATAAATTAACTGTGGCAGTGCATGGTAAAGCTTTGTGACGCATTGCCATGTGTTGTGATACCTTGTGTTGCAATTAAATATACGCCTGTATCATTTTATCACAACACAAACACACAGCGTAAAAACCATTTTTTACATAAGTCGCTTATTTACAGTTTTGCGTACCTTCATTTTTTCACCTTTTTGCAAAAAGGCCCAATTACAAATGTGCTAATATTTGTTATTTATTAACTCAATACAGTTTTATCTTTTAGATTTAGTCAGAAAATTTATTATTTTTTGTGCGCTGATACTGATTTTGGTGTGTTTTTAACAATTGAATTGTGTATTTTTATCGGTTTAATATTTGAGAAACATTTGCGCAATTATCGCAGGGCCTACAAATTTAGTATCACCATCTATTTATTCTACCGGGCCTGCGCTTTCAGAAAATATATGGTTTGGGGGGTCTTTTTACAAACGCTAGCAACCCAGCAGTTGAAAATCAAATCAATGGGAAAGATTGCAAAAATTGCATTGCCAGCTGATTTAAACAATGTTCCGGAGGGCTCGGCAGCGAAAGGGTTAAGCATGTCCTTTCCAAACTGACTCCTGAATGGGAGGGCCTGGGTTCATTATAACCAGCTGGTGGGCTTCCTGTATTGTAATAAGGCAAGGTGCAGTGTCTGCATCCCTCTAGTAGTAATTAACTCTCAGAGTATATCATCAAAAATGAAATTCCTATTGCAAGGGATGCAACAAATGATACTTGTATCTTAGTGCAGGCTTCTGGGAAAATCAGTCAGACAATCACAGAAGCAGGAAGTGACATTTCTGGGTGTGTTCCGTACACCAACTATGTACGGAATGCCTCCAGGATGTCGTATTACTTTGCATGGTTTAAAAATATTTAGAACATTACAGCAGCTACAGTTTTTTTTGTTTGTTTTTTTTAATAACATTCAATTACAAAATGGCTTGTGAGACAATTTTATATATTTAAGATTTTTTTCATTTTTAAAGTGGCGTTCCCCTTAAGGCATTCAGATAAATGGCTTTTGTTGTTGTGCCTCTACCCTCTTTTGGCAGGAGCAGTGTTGGTGATGATCTCCTCCTGCATCTAACACCTCTTGGCTCTAAAGTATCCTTCAGCTCTAGCCTGGAATTCTGGTGTACAGATCTAAATGAAATGCTGACTGCTGCTTTGGACAAGCTTTTAGCAATTATTTAACACTTCTGAGTCTGGTTTTAAGGCCATGATTTTTACAAATTATGCATATGTACATAAGGCCATATGATGAGCATGATGGCTAATGTATGAGCAACTTGAAAAAATAATTTTGTGATTTGTAGCTTTTCTTAAAATATTTGCTTTTCATATGATGCACTAGGTATTGTAATTTAAACAAATTGTAAAATGGTCTGAGGCCAATTAAACAAAAATAATTTCTTGCAGACACTTGTATCCTCCACCCACACCCATATTTGCAGGGGGAGATAATGGACGATGGGTGAGATCTGTCTCATTTAGTCACGATGGAGTACACATTGCAAGTCTTGCTGACGACAGGTATGAGTCTTTTATGTTCTTCAGGTCATATATAATGTTGTATATTTATGCATTTGTAATGTTACCATAAGCTTGTTATGCCCCATTATATTGTCCTGGGATCTCTGGCAATATTGTAAAGTGACTGGAGGTTATTATCCAGTATGTGAATATCCAGTGTCCTGGCACTTCACTGCCTACTTGTTTGTTCCACATCATAGTTACATAGTCAGGTTGAAAAAAGACACATGTCCATCGAGTTCAACCTATAGAGATCATTCACTTGCCAGTGGAGGTAGGCTGAGGAGTGAGAATACACCTTTTAAAAACAAGTGTGCAATGACTTGTGCCATAATTGTATCCAAAATGTTTCTTTTAAGAGGATTATATAAAAAAATAATTGACTGCATTAAAATGGAGAGTAAATAACTGTCCTTAATCTGAGACCCCATTCACACTGAGCCTTTTGTAGTGCGATTGCTGCTACAAAAATCGCTCAAATATGAAGCTTAATGTAGCTCCTTCAATGCATTTCAATGGATGTTCACATCTTGCAGCTCAATGTCTCGGTTGTTAAAGTTGATCAGCTCATATCAGCACTGAAAAAGCTTGTAGCTCAGTGTGAATAGGGTCACTGTCATATTATACTGCAGTACATGCACTCTTAGCAGTTTTTGCCTGTATTTCAGCCTTTTTATACTAGTTGAGTTCATGTTTAGCATTTAATGTCAGTTTTAAAATGTCTTCGGTCTTTAATATGTGCATATTTGTGTAGCAAGTTCTTCAATTTGAAAATGTGTCTGCTTTTCTAGGTTAGTGAGGTTTTGGCGCATTGATCGCTCATATCCCATTGAAGTTGCACCTCTAAATAAAGGTCTTTGCAGTGCCTTTTCTACTGATGGCAGTGTTCTAGCTGCTGGGTAAGATACATTGCTGTAACTGTGTTTTTCCTAACTTTAGTCAGTCATTTCTGGCTTTGTCTTACCACTTTCACTGTTTTATACCATTTGTATCTCCCGTATACACTATCGCTACACCATCTTACCTGTATTAACTTCTCATAGTCTGTGTCCAGTGCATAAACTACATGATTTCCCTAGACCTCCCTCAAAAGGCCAACATGCTAGTTAAAGGAGAACTATGGGGTTAAGGCTTTTCCCCATAGTTCTCCTTAGGGTAACGGGAGGACACAAACTAGCGTCCTCCCGTCACCCTAAGCTCAATATACTGCGAGCTACAGCTTGCGGTATACTGAGATGCCACAGTATACCGCAACCTACTGCTCGTGGTATACTGAGACGCTGAAGCGGATCCCGACAATTATGTCTGGATCCGCCCAGCTGTGTGAGTGACAGCTGGCTCTGCCTATCTAGAGGCAGAGCCAGCTGTACCCGCCCCCTCCCCCGTCCGATCCGCCAGTTAGCGCTGGCGACGAGGGTGGAATCCAGCCCCTCCCCTGTCACGGCAGAGGGCTGTGACAGGATCGAAAGGTGAGTGAACGCCGCTATGTGTTCGCTCACCTCCCGATCTACTGAGCCGACCTGTGACAGTCTCAGCCACAGGTCGGCTAGAACTATGAGCTGAGTGAAAAGCATTCACCTCATAGTTCTCCTTTAAATCATGCTTTCTCTAGTTCCTGCCACTGATGACTGTCCCTGATTTGGGCACATGCTTTATCCTGCTGTATACCACATTCACATCTTTTCATTGCACTACATATATTTATAGATACATTGAGGGTCTTGTTTTCTTTTAGCATGGGTTTAACACATGAATACTCTTCTGCAGCAAAATACAGGTAAAACATTTTTGGTAGGGTTCTACAATTACTATGTACTGTGTATCTTCGAAAGTACAGATCCCACACTTTGCGAAAGTTTGCTTTAGTGTCATGAGCGCACATGCCTGTAAGTAAAGGAAATTGGAGCCAAAGTCGTCCTGGTATTTTTGTAACTTTTTTTTTTCTTTTCCCATTACAGAACTCAGGATGGAAATGTACATTTCTGGGCTACTCCCACTTATGTTTCCAGCCTTCAGCACTTATGTCGTATGGCAATAAGAAGAGTGATGACTACAAGTCAAGTCCAGAAGCTGCCAGTGCCTCCAAAAATTATGGAGTTTCTTACATACCAAATTATATAAGGAACACTTTTTTTTTCCCCCCATCAACTGGCTCCATTTGATGAAACTGGCAACACACCCAAATGCATTATACCATTTATGCTTTAAATGTTTCAACTTATTTGAATATTTAAAGTACAGTATTTAAACACATTGATGCATTTCTGATCATGCTGAGCTTTAAATGCGATTAAGGGGTGTTCTACATCCCTACAAGGTGAAATTGGAATGTGGACTCACAATCTGTACAACTGTGAAACTGTAAATACATATGTAAGCTGCTATATGTGCATTTCTTTTGCTTAAATATTTAGACTTTTTTTCCAGTATGGCTTATTTTAAAATGTCTTTGTTCTATCTTTGTGTGTTATAAAACCAAGGTGTATGGTAGGTACGTGCTGCAAAATATGCACTGGGACTGTCCATTCAGTGGTGATGTAGGCAGAAGGTGGCCTAAGTGAATTTTCCCCTAACTTACATTCTTTATTAATAGGTTTATTGTCACAAAGTACAGTTTTACTCACTTTAGTTTTGACTGTAGGGTTTGTTTGTTTTTTAATCTCTCCAACCTGCACAAAAATTAGGTAAATGTTTTAAAGATGAGTTTTTGAGGGGTTAGATTGTATTGCAATATTGTATGTTTGTTTGAGCCCTTATAAAAAAAACCCTTAAGGTGCTTATTTTGGTTGGCTGCCAAAGATGAGCAAAGTGTTCTTTACTGCCTTCTGCTGTTCATTTGCACTTGCAAGTTTAAAACGAATGTATGCAGTGCATCTAATGCTAACCATATATTTTTGTTGAATTATGCCAAAAGGTCTATAAATAAACACTTTTTTTTTTAAATCTTGTGGTTTACTCATTCAGTTTGGAAATGGATGTATGTGTTTTATACATTTTGGGCATTAATATTTTTGCAATCCCTTTTTATATGTAAAACTTGAGAAGCAACTTGGCAATTCAAGAACAACTTTGAAGAGCAAGGCATTGAAAAGTGGATCTAAATAAACCCAGTTAACATTTCTGTCCACTTAATTTGTATCTAAAGAGCACCCAATGTAAAATTTTGGCCTGATGCCCCAAAACATTGTCCCTGAGTTACTCAACTGACATGCCTAGGAAGGGCTGTAATCGCACAGCCTAGTTTATATGTAAAAGATATTTTGAATGTAAGTAAAATTGCACTAGTGGCTGCAGGGCAAAAAGGGAAATCCAAGTTGATTCCAAAGCCTTTCCAGCATCTGGACAATGACCATTTGTAGAAATTATTTTCTTTGTGCCGGGGAGGAGGGACATAAAAACGTCTTAAAGTATTGACCAATTAAAAAATGCTTGCAACACTGGCCTTCCCAGGAATCTATACTGGTTAATAACTACATAAACTTCAAATTGACCTAAGCAAATATATTTGGTAACTGATCATATAATTCAAAATGCACAAAAGATAGTCACTTGGTTTCTATGCATTATGATACACAGGCATTTAATGCATTACATAGGCATTCAACACAGTCCAAAGATGGCTATTGGAGTTGGAGGTAACATAGATATTTCTTAGTCTTACAGTACAAGACACAGGATGTTATAGAGCATGGGTTATATGCAACTACCTTCATGTTATCTGACACTGGCAAAACAGTTGTTAAGATAGCCCCATATAACTACTACTACTCCCAACAGGAATCTGTTGAAGACAGTAGCTTTATACCTGTGGAATTGTCTGGGATTCTTTCATCAAGATTTTAGCTGCACCTTAGCCACTGGCTGACATTTGCGGCTTCTGGATCAGGATTTCTTGCCTAAACCTTGGGGACCGTACCCCCATGGCCAATATGCGCCCTGAATAGGAGGGGGAGGAATCCTCTTCTATGTCTGAGGATTTACTACAGGAGGGGGCTCATTCAGCCATTATTTCTCCTAATCTTTAAAGATACCATCAGTCATTGATGCAAAGCAGATATACTGCCTGACCCTGGAACCTCCTGCGCCTTCTAGATCTAAGGTCTGCGTCATGGGTTCTCTTAAATTGCCGAAGCCTGGTAAGACCTCCCCTGTTCACTGACTGGTAATGAATGTTCTGTATGACTGGCCTCACTCTTGCCCCCCCCCCCAGCAATTTGCTTAACAATATAAAGGCAGGTTGCCTCAAAAAGTGGGTGGGGTCATTTACTGTTTAAACAAAACTTGAACAGTCCCTGTTGAGGATGTTCCTGCCGTCAAGGATCTCTTGGACAAGAGGTTATAGACTTTTCAAGGGCTCAAACACTAGCTCAGGAATGGCCAAACTCCGGCCCTCCAGCTGTGGTGAAACTACAAATCCTATAAAGCACATCTCGCTGGGAGTTATGTCTGTGGTTTGAGAATCTTGCAAAGCCTCATGGGATTCGTAGTTCCGCCACAGCTGGAGGGCCGCAGTTTGGATATCCCTGCTCTAGCTGGTCCCACTATGCAACCTGCTATCGCCTCCATGGTAGTTTGCCACACCCTGGCTGTCTGGACTAAGCGATGGTCTAGAATGCTGGTTACGTTTATCACTTATTTGTCCAACAATTAGAGCTCCTTCCCGTGGCTTCATGTTACTGCGTGCGCAGGTTGGCGAACACTCATCTAATGTCGAGGATCAGCATTCTATCCAGATGCGTAGAATCGTCTAACTCGGGGGTAGCCAAACTCAGTCCCTCCAGCTGTGGTGGAACTAAGTCCCATGAGGCATTGCAAGACTCACAGACATGACTCCTGGAGAGATGCATCATGGGACTTGTAGTTTCACCATAGCTGGAGGGCTGGAGTTTGGCTACCCCTGCTCTAACTGAAGTGCTGGTCTGTGGAACCTGTCTGCTAGAAACGCCTAGAGAGGATGCCTAAAACACTTAAGAAATTCTTGCTCAAAACTGGGACTTACGCTGCACCTGCCGACCAAATCGGTGGCAGTAGTTGCAGCTGGAGCATTCCCTAACTCCCTAATTCCCTTTTGTGATGTACAGCTATGGGCACGGGTATATGCCTCTATGCATCTGATTGGGTCATTAGGAGGGGGTGACGGTCAAGTTTTTGAGTGGGCTTGGCCAAACTGTGGCGAACTGGGTTTGCACCAAGTCCAAACCTAATCACTAATTAAAAGGCAGCAGAAGCTAATGAACTTGCCAATATGTTTGGTTTTTTTTTGGAAGGAATCTGGAGCACCTGAGGAAAATGTATACAGAGAGTGTTGGAAAATATACAAAGACCATGGATATTCAAGACTTTTGTAATAGTAATCACAGGCTGTATTCTGCATATAAAATGTTTCCTGTGCTCAGTATTTCACCATCGGCTACAGGAATTTTCCAAGGCCTGTAATTTGATTCAGTATGAGTCTGTTTTAGAATGCACAGTCACCACATATTTAAGTAATTATTTTTGGAAATGCATGCCAGTTTATTGTGGTTGTAAATCGGTAGGGGTAACCATTGCAAAGTAGAATAACATTTGTAATGTCAGAAGAGCTATGCACCGGACACTTCAGTTAGTTGAGACAATATGTATGGTATATTACAGCGTGACTCCTCACCCATAGTATTTAAAGACAACAGTATCATTGGTACAAATGTCCTTTAACCGCTTGAAGACCAGGTGTTTAGACCCCCTTCCTGGCCAGGCCATTTTTCAGTATTCAGCGCTGCGGTACTTTGACTGACGTTTATTCCGTCATGCAACGCTGTACTGAAATGAATTTTATACCCTTTTTTGTGGACAGATAGAGCTTTCTTTTGGTGGTATTTAATCACCACTGGGGGTTTTATTTTTTTACTATGTTCAGGAGAAATTACTGAAAATTTTGGATTTTTTTTTTTTTTTACATTGTTATTAAAACAACTATTACCCGCTTTTTTGGTAAAATATAAAAGTCGGGGTCACGTCGGGTAAATAGACGCCAAACATGTCAAGCTTAAAAATTGCGCAAAATCGCAAAAAACTAGCATACCCAAAATTGGCTCTATAGCCGGCGGATCGCTTGTATATTAACGGGCATCGCTGCATGTTTTCAAATAGCGGTGATTCTCCGCTCGCACGCCCCCGAGCGGGCGGATGTAACAGGACGTGTATACACGCCCAGTTACATCTAAGAAGCTCCCGACCGGCCGTGTATACACAGCGGCTTGCCGGGAGGTAGTTAATCAATCCCCCCCCCCGAATTGCTGCTGCCAAACAGCACAAATACCTTCCTCATCAATCCGGTAGTCTGTAGTATGGCCCTGCCCAGAGCCGCACAGTCTTTTGCGCAAAAACATCTCCACAGGGCTGCCTCTCAATGCGTATTGGCATCGTGGCCTCATTCATCCCTATGGGTATGCCATAGTCAAGGCACCTCAGCTGAGTTTGGCTTACCTAAAGGAGTGAATAGGGCTGTGGTGCACATGCACACAAAGGAGGACATTTTTAATGGAATGGCTGAGCAGGGCTGCTTATCAAAGATTGCTGGATCAAGGAGGAAGGTGAGTGATTGTCCAGGTGGGCAACATGCAGGGTGGTGGTGGGAACGGAGTAGGTTTTTAAGAGATAATGTTGGCTATATACTGTAAGATTTTTCTCATTCAGCCTTGCAGGCTAAATGAGAAAAAAACACTGAATTCACTTGTTTGCACAAAAGAGCATGGCTGGAGGAATCTACACTGATGGCTATTGTATTCTGACAGCTAGCGCTGTTTTCAGTCTTGGGTCTTTTATAGGCCCCATTCACGCAGGAATCGTCCGCCACGTACAGCTCCGTGCTGCGTGTACGGCTGTATCGGGCACATCCCGGGAAGGACAGGTGCGGCGTGTGATTAGTACGCAGCCCCTGTCCTTCTTTATGGGACTACGCGGCCATATGCCCCCCTACGCTCACCTCAAGTGCACGTCCGTGTTGCTGTATCCTGTCTGTGTCCGAGCCAGGAAACACGCACTTGAGGTGAGTAGGGGGGCGTATGGCCGTGTAGTCCCATAGAGAAGGACGGGCTACGTACGAATGATACCTGTCCTTCCTGGGAGCTGCCCAATACGGCCGTTCACGGAGCGGTACATGCTGGCCGATTGCTGTGTGAATGGGGACTAAAGGTGGCCATACACCTATAGATTAATGATCGGAAATTTTCGTTGCTGCGAAGAACCCTCGTTCGATTCTAGCTCAAATAGCCCATCAAGCACAGACAAATTTCAATAATCGTTCGATAGCATTACCAACTCACCGAATTTTGTCGATTTGACAGAATGGATTTTCATTAGTGCAGTGTTCTTGCTGCAATTTTTCTTTTCTTTTTTGTACTAA